TTGCACTGCCAGCCTTCTGGTTAGCAGTCAAATGCCTTAGGCACTATACCACCAGAGCTCCCATAGAATTGTAATTATAGCCTATTAAACCACTACATATACAAATTAATTAGAAAAAAAGATTTTAAATATATTTTAGAGTTATTCTCTGATATTTTTAAAGATCTTTTGAGTCTACCATGATACCTCTTGGCCCATAATTTCTCTATATTGATATAAAGAGGCACCCTTACTCTAGGAATGTGGACATTTAATTCTGCTTCTGGATTCTGTGTATTGAAGAATGAAAAAGAAAATATGTGGTACCCCTAGAACAGAAGAACTTTAATTAAAAAAAGAAAAAAATCTCATTTAGTTTATTTAACAAATAAAGCACCTCCAGATTGAGCCACCATGGTCTTCACCCAAGTCCTAGGTGTGAAATGGACTGAAATAGAAGACTTTTGGCATTTTAGAAGCAATGCCTTCCCATGTTTTTTCATACTTATGATGACAGGTAAAGGACAGGAAGAATAGAAGAATATTACCATGCAACAAGTGGTTTATACTTTATCATTTTTAATCATCAAAAAACTGGAATGAAAGAAATTTTTACCTTGTTTTAATGATGAAGAAATTGACATTCAAAATTATTAAAATCTAGCATAATTTAGTGGCTGATGTAGAATTCAAACCCCTTTCTGCCTAACCTTATAACTTAAATGCTAGCCCCAAATACTGACCCTAGTTGGATCTGTAAATAAGAGACAGAGTTGTAAGAACACCTTGCAGAGAAGGTGTAGCATTTATGGTTGATATGTGGGTGTGACAGTTGTATCCAGAGATCTGAGTTGAGGAGGCCCTGGGCAGTGGTGTAGATAAGGAGTCACACAAACATTTCTGTAAGAGGTTGTCAAGGCTTCTTGGGAGACTGTGGCACAAGGACCCTCAGATGATCTGATGAAGACTACTGCTAACCAAGCTTATGCTTGTTTGTCTATTTTAAATGCTCTCCAGACTTTCTATTGCTATCTTTATTATGAATAATTAAATGGGTCCCATTCTTATTTGCCACGTCAGGGAAGAAATGAACTATGTGTTATACAGAATACAAAAGTTAATCATACTTGATGTAGAGAATTTTTATATGTCTTCTCATGTAATTAACTAATCACACTTTATTTTAAGGTCCATTGTAGGGAACTACTACTAAAAGTAATGCCAAAACCACCTATACCATTAGATATTAATTTAAATTAATTTTTTATTTCTGAATAATAGGACAGGGAATAAAATACTTACCAATAAGATATTAGTATTAAGTAGAAAATTATTTCCTATCACCTTCAGCAAAGCCATTCATAAAAGTCCATGTATATAACAGTGGTGACACTCAGTCTATCACAATTGTTATTCAAACTGAAAAAACATAATTGGTCTCAGAGCCTAATCACAGCATATGATAGTTTGTATGTTTCCTAAATGAATGGCAGAGTTCTTACTTTATTACTAAAAGATATCTTAAGTTTCACTAAATTTTCATTTTAGTTGGGTATATTTATCCTCACTGACAAAAGTAGCTTTTGAATCAGGGTTTGAGCGAAAGCAACTAAATCCTGCATTTGTCACTAGGTTAACAACAAAACTTTGCTTAAAAGTATAGTGGCAACAGAAAGTTGATGGTGCATATCTAAAACAGCATGCTGAAAAATGGTGCCTCATTGTCCCAGTAAATGAAACTGCACCCTCATTTTTCAGGTTTCTTCTAAGAGTGCCACACAAAGGGAAATCTGTTCAATTCATTGAATTGTTGACTCTACATTAAGAATTGAAATGTGTACTTTAATGCGGTTTATTTGATCTCTCATTTAATTGTTTATTGAGGCTGATTAAAGTTTGAATATAAAAATCCTCTTAACTTCAAAATACTGAAACAATAATGGATAATATAGCATTTTTATAATAGTCTCTGTTCCTTTAGTTTGGTTTTATGATTGTAATATGGCTGTTAGCCTTGGTGCAAGGTTTGTTTCTATGTTTTGCTCCTTTGTAAGAACCACTCTTCTACTACATTGTATTACAGTGTTTTATCAAACTTGCTCATGCAATGAAGCAAGACCTCTTATAGTGCACATCAAAAGGAATCATTATGAGCAAGTAATATTTACTTTATTCCACTTACAACAATTTAGGAGCTTTGCTTTCCCAAAAGCTATAACTATGTCCTTTCTTTATCTGTATATATATTTGAAACATAATAAAACTAGCAATTGACTTGTTCAGTTAAACTTATAATTACAAATTACATAACCCTAAAAATTTCAAGAGCTTCAAGTCCAAGATTTTTAAGAAACAATAATATTTCTCTTTATTGTTGTTGGTTGCTGTTGAGTTGACACTGACTCAGGACAACTCTATGTGCAGAGATGATGGGCATGTCATAAGGTTTTCAAGGCTATAACCATTCAGAAGCAGATCACCTGTCTTCCGTAGTACTTTAGGTGGGCGAAGATTGCCAATCTTTCAACTAGTAATTGAGTGCTTAACCATTAATGCATCTAAGGGATTATGAAATTATCTAGTCCCTATTATATTTGTCATTATTACTAAGTGTTAAGTAATAGGAAGTCAGGTTATATAGCTAATTTTAGTCTCACAATCAGAAATAGAACCCAGATCTCTAGCATTGCAATCTAGTATGTTTTAAATTTCTTAAATCATTTATGTGATTCTTCCAATCAGTCAGAAATTCTTCCTTCAAACCCTGGTCTGAATCTCTGTATTTTACAAAAGATTAAAAAAAAAAAAAAAAAAAAAAAAGACATGTGAGAGCAATTATTAGAATGTCCTTACTGAAAATAGTATGCATTATAGTGATTTTTTGTTTTCCCTTAAACAAACTTTATGTGTTTCTACAATTGCTTCTGGAAGTAAATAACTTTTATGCAAGGCAGAGCAGAGCAAATTTTTATATGACAATATGTTTGTGCTGGATCCTTTTCAAAGAAAATTGATGAAACATTTATTCTTTCTCTTAATATGGCAATTAACCTGTAAGTTTATGTAAACAATCTAAAGTACAAAAAAAAAAGAAAAGAAAAAACCCTCCTTTTCTGCCAGCTCCACTGATCTTGTTAAATTCTGACGATCTGGCAAAAAGTGGCAGCATGACACTCAGTTATGACTGCAGATACTGTACAGACCCTTGGAAAACACTGTCTTGAGGTTGTAAAACTTTAACTAGCCCAAGATGTATTATTGTGTGTTAGGTAGTGATAGAGACACTTTGACAATTCCCAAGTGACAATGGGTTTTATTTTGTGCATGGTTCCAGTATTTTATAATCTGTTTCCCTGCTCTATTTTGTCTTCTAGTTTCTCCAAATGGCTACAAGTGTGACCCAAAGGGGAAAGGATATAAAAAGTCTATTCTGTTTCTTTCACTAGTACGAGAATATTTTAATTGATTTATTTTTATTTTTTGCTTTTTGTCCTTTAACTCAGTGGTTTTCATGCTGTGGATCACAAACCATTATTGGGGCATGAAATCAATTTAGTGAGTCACAACTAATGTTTTCAGAAATCTAATAGATTAGACTAAATATATTAGAGAAATTTTATGAAGAGTATTTTTGAAACTTTTGTGTCATGTCTGTGTGTCTATGTGAGAGACTAAGTGTGTGAAGTAATACATGAAGTACTAGGATCCTTACTGGTCAAAAAAAGTTTGAAATTCACCACTGTATTTATTTTTTGTGACAAAATCCTTATGTTATTTTAAACAGCATGCAAAAATAAATGTAATCTTTTCAAATTTTATCTTTCAGTTTGTGTCAGGTTACCATTCTTTATGTTTAGACAAAGTATAGCGAATACTTGGATACACTTCACCTCCCCTTTCAATTAGCAGAAAATTTTAGTTAAGATTCTTGTACTTCTATAGACATAATCTCTGGATCTGCTATCTTGTAGTATGGTACAGAGAGCACTATTGAAGAGTTCAAAATTCTGATAAATAACTGAAAAGGTCACATACTACTTATGGTTAACTTTTTGACTTGGTTTTGATACTTTTAATTGAGTAAATTATTTTCAATTAATTATTAGAGTTTCTTTTATTTCTTAACAACTGCATTCTATGTAAATATAAAATTTGCTAGTGTTTTGTTTTTTTCTGGTTAATGTAAATAATTTAAAGAAATTACTCAGAATCTTAAATTTTGGTTGGTGATATAATGCAGGTTATCTATGTCAATATAAAAGTGTTAATGTAATAAAAATCAAATATAATTTTTTCAACAATATATCTCTGATGTTCATAGATTTAAACTTCTTGCTGTAATACATTAGAATTATCAACAGATACTTAAGGATAAATTAGTACTGAGTTTTCTCCATATGCCCTAAAGTTAATAATACATATTTTTAAATTATATTATTTGCATCATATTTTTCTTGACTATTTATCATTTATTTCCTTTTGTTTTCAGCTAAAATTGACCAAGAGACAGAGGAGAATTCACTGACAGAGACTCATAAATGGTGAGAAAATACTTTCTTATAAAGTGCTTAGACTATTTCATCTCAAGGAACCAATTATTAGCTCAGTATTTTCTAGCATAAATTATATAATTGTGTGATTTAATCCCACACAGAATTTATGAATTTTATTTTTATTACTTTAGATGTAGTATCATCTTCTTAAGCACCAAATTTTTGTAAATAGTAAGCACCTTCTCTTTGGGATAGAATTTGTACTGGGGAGATAAAAAGGAAGATAACCAGAACATTCTTTCTAGAAAGGGGATAAAATATTTGGTTATCAGGAACTATTGAGTTTCACACTCAAAAGTAGAGTTCACATAGGCAACCATGAGTTTCCCCTGGACATACCTTTAGGGCCAGGGTGGACGTTTGCAGTCATGAGTAAGCATTAGAAAGTATCCCAGAAATCTCCTTGCTTTTCTGCCTCAATTTTCTCTTATTCTTCTTTTTCTTTAAAGGCTAATCTGATTACTCTTCAGGGAAAATTTTGATTAAAGAAGTTCTTTGCTCTTACTTTATTAGGAAATATCCTTTATATTTGTGGAGAGATATCATATATTTTATACTTGCTGATTTAATATAAGATATTGTCCTAAGAGGATGGGTAAAATAGGGTTTGAGCAATTCTTATGAAAAGCAAAAAAATGAAGATAAGACCGTAAATTATAGCAAACAAAATTTCAGTTAGTTGCATGAAAAAATACTGCCTAATGACGAAATCGTTAGTGCAACTGTCATTGTTTATCATTAAACAATTAACTCTGAAATTGAAAATAAAAATAAGAGTGATGGATCATATGACACATTTCCCCAACAAAATAACTTCACCATTTTCTTAGTAGTCCTACATAACCTGGACAACAATAATAGGTGGTAACTCTGTGCAGTTAGACAGTGTAACCCTAGCCCCATGAACTTTTTTTTCTCATTTACTCTATTCATTCATTCATTTATTTCCATATCATTCAGAAGCTTTTTCTTTCTAAACTGATCACCCACCATTGTAAATTCTGCTCATTATCAGCCCACACAAGATTCCAGGATCATTAGTTTCTCCTTCCTCATCCATCCCATATAATCCAAAGATTGATTCCCTGCTCTGCCACTTTCACTGGCACTCTGGCTTCACAGACTTTGGAGTCTGAATCCTGCCTCTCTTGTGTGATGATAGCTCTGTGACCTTGGGCCATTACCTTAATCTCTCTAACCCCAGGATAAAAGGATCTACATTGTGAGGTAAGAATTAAATGATTCTTGCCAGATGCTTAATATCTAGTCCATGATCAATAAATATTAATTACTAGTTTATTTTGATATTATTATAATAATAATGAAAGTTTGAGGGTAGAAGTAGAAACCAAAGTCAGATTTCAAAATCAGGTGATATATTCATTAGTTCATTTTGTGTTTTTTGCCATCTCTTGAAGCGTGTATCAGATAGTGAACTGTGGTTACAGAACACAGATCTTGGTGTGAGGTCTATGTTACTGTGCCTGCTCCACATGTACTGGGTCTGTAGTTTCAAGCATTTACATCAACTTTTGAATCCTAGTCCTTATCTTTGAAATAGGAGAAACATTACTGACATTGTAAATTAAATGAGTTAGATATATATGTACAGAACCTGACTCAGAGAGGTTTTTCAAAATTCTCTTCCTTGTATTTACCAAAATACCTGAACTTTGGAGACCAACTTCCAAAGTAAACTTTCTCCCTAAGAAACAACCATAAGAGCACAGAAAATTATAAAAAAATAATAATAGTAATCATCAAATAACTTCTCTGGAAATTGTCCTAAGAGCATACAGCAAATGTAGAAGCATTCATTCTAGAAACTACTGAATCTTAGTCAAAGAATCTGTGACATATACATTACAATCATTTCCTCTTCTTCCCACCCTCACCTTAAACTCCATTTTTTGGCGACTACTCCAGGAGCTCTAATCCAGGTAGATGCAGTCAAAAAAATAAGGGTTCACACTCCCTCCAGCTTCCTCTGTAACTGTGTTTCTTCATTTATTTTTGATTAGTTATCAGTGTCTACAGGAGAGTTATTAACTTTTCTGTTCATTATAATGTATCTAGACCACCAGTTGCACTCTTTTTAGTTTTAATAGATTTCGAATGGATTCTGTTGGGATTTATGGGTATAAAATCATATCAAGAAATATGGATAAAATTGTCTGTCTTTTACCCACTGCTGTCAAGTCAATTCCAACTCACAGTGATCCACATAGGGTTTCCAAGGCTGTAAATATTTACGAAAGTAGATTGCCTCATCTTCCTTCTGGGGAGCAGCTGATAGGTTTGAACTGCCAATCTTCTGGATAGCAACCATATTATTCCTCAGTACTTTTCTTTTCTTAAAGAGTAAGCTAGAAGGTCCAAAAGAGTGTTGAATATTAGTATTGAAAATAAACAACCATATTTTATCCCTGACTTCTAAAGACAGTGTTTTTAATATTTTTGTTACATAATAAGATATTACTTTGATCTTTGTTGTATATTTTTATGTCATTTAGGAAGTTTTCTTTTGTTTATATACTACTTAAATATTTTAAGATCAAATTTTATTTGCTATTTATATAATCTATGGTTTTGTTCTCCTTTACAAATATAATGAATTATGTTGATAGATTTCCTAAGGTCAAATGATACTTGCATTAATGGAACAGTGTGTCCTTGGTAATATTGCTCAATTATTTTATTCCACTATTGATTTTCTTTTGCTAAAAAGTATTCATAAATGGGATTGGATCTTACCTTTTAAGGGATGCATTTTAAAATCAGACTTTAGTTATTTGTGTCTTATTAAAATGATTTGGGTATTTAATATTTTCAGATAAGCTTTGAAATAGTTTAAATGTTACCAGTTTTTTGAAGACTAGCTAGATCTTATTAGTAAAGTCATAATGGTTCAGCATTTTTTAAAGGGCTAGATCTTTAACAACATTGTCAGTAATTTCTATGTTATTTTATCTGTTTGGAATTTATGTCAACATAAATTTATGTATTTCATGACTATCATTCATATATTTAGCTTTTAAACCCATTAACATATTTTACATATAATATTCTCTAACAATATCTTTGTTCTCTTTACAAGCCCCAAGGTATTTTCATAAATACACTATGTTCATTTGAGTTATACGTTGCTGTAAAAAATTTGCATAACATGCTTACAATAATACCGTGGGTGGGCATGGTTGGCCAAAAAACATATAGTGTGTATGTTATTTGCATAAAAATATGATATGTATTTTGAAATTTGTATTTGAAGGAAGTAGAATTTATTTTATGCATCACTTTAATTCACTGATTCCCTAGTTTTCTTTAATTTTTTTGTTTTCATTCTTTCAAAAACAAAACCAAACTTACTGTCATGGAGTGGGATCCGACTCATACTGACCCTTCCTTGGGTTTCTGAGGCAGTATAACTATGGAAGTAGATTGCTCAACCTTCCTTCCCAGGAGTGGCTGGTGGGTCTGAACCGCCAGCTTTCTGGTTAGCAGTCAGGTGCCATAGGCACTTCATTCTTTATCAATGTGAATATATAATTTATTTGTAGTATAGGTATTCATCACCTAGTGTCCCCAGTACATTCCATGAAACAAGACATTATGTGATTTGAACATTCTGGGACCACCATATTAAAACCTTATGGGAGCTCGTTTCTGGTTGTCCTTGTTACTGCTATTGCTGCAGCCACTGGTGGTGACAAGGGCTAAAGCAGAGTGAGAAGAAGCAAGTAAGGAGGGAGCAGAGCATGCCCAGCCCCACTTGCTGTTCCACATTCTTGACCACCAGGAGCACCCTGGACCCTGTAGCTCCCATCCCCTCTTGCCAGCAGACAAAGCCAGAGAGCCCATGCTCAGGCCATGTCTTCTGCCTCACCTGCCTTTATCTCACGCATGGTCCAGTGCTACAAGAGTCTGTGTTTGGGGTCTTTAAAACTATTTAAAAAAAAAAAAAGAAAAGAAAAGAAAAAAGAAATCTACTGCTATTGAGTCCATTCTGACTCATAGCTACCTTATATGATGGAGTAGAGCTGACCCAGAGGATTTCCAAATCTGTAAATCTTTATGGAAATAGACTGCTGCATCTTTCTCCTGCAGAGTATTTGGTGAGTTTGAACTGCCAACATTTGGTTAGCCGTTGAGCACTTTAACTGCTGTTCCACGGAGTCACCTTTTAAAACCATTTTAGGGAGAGAAAAATAAGAGGAGAGCTGTTTTCTCCTTAAAAAATAAATAAATAAACTTTATGGGACCACAGACATATATGTGATCAGACATTGTCTGAAAAGATGTTAAGTGTCACATATCTGTATTTCTTGTTAGCCATATTAACCTTTCAAAGGTATACATAAACAACATTATTAGATGTACTTACATAGAAAATCTTTGCCTTTCTGGGTTTTTTCCCCCTAGTTTTATTGTTATTTTCTTTGACTATTCTGACTATCTGACAATAACAAAAAACATATGCTCACCAAGGTTTCATGAAAGAAGGTGAGATTGAGTGGTGAAAAGGTACTGACAATTCCTCTTAGCCCACTTCTGCCACTCCAGAATTGCAATTGGGTAAACCACATAAAGGAGTCCCTCGGTAGTACAAGCTGTTAAGCACTCAACTACCAACAGAAAGGTTGGTACTTTGAACCCATCAGGAGATACCTCAGGAAACAGACCTGGTGATCTGCTTCCAAAATGTCACAGCCTTGAAAACCATATAGAGCAGTTCTACTCTGCATACCTGGTGTCACCAGGAGTCGGAATTAATTCAACAGCAGTCAAACAACTACAAAATCACATAAACTGCCTGAGCCTCGATTCCTTTATTTGTAAAAAAGATAGAACCTTGTCCTTCCATTCTATTCTTTAGAGTTGTTGTAGGAATTGACCTTACTTTTTGCATATAATTTGTCCTTGTAAATAACAAGCATTTTCATATAAAGCACACAGAAAACAAATTTGTGAAAGGGTTGCTTACTTTG